TTTTTTCTCCGTATGAATGAAGGTTTTTCCCCATGTACAACTATTATTATCAAAATATAGTCTACCTCATCGTTTATGTGAATGTGTCATAAGATAAAAGTAAAATGGAAAATTATATTATCATTGAAATCGTATCCTTTTGTCTTATGATAAACACGGCGTGGTAACTCGCCGAACAATACAACCGTAGACATCCATCGATGTGCAGTTTCCCACTGTAGCTAACAGCCGGGTGTGGAATGGGTAGTCCCGTATAGTATGTAGTAGTATCTCTTCATATAGTATGTAATACTATCTCTTCATATAGTATGTAATAGTATCTCTTCATATAGTATGTGGTATATTTGTATAGACTCATGAATGAACTGACACTTGTATGTTCTAATTGTACTAGGAATAGCAAGTAGTATCTCCTAAACTATACCTATTATAGTTTACTAGTAATGTTGTTTGAAGTGTCCATGTATGTTTATACACTTTTGCTACACAAAGTGTTGGAGCCGAAGTCACAGCTATCTTATCAATATATATATATATATATATATATATATATATATATATATATATATATATATATATATATATATATATATATATACTTACTACATAAGTGTATAGATATGGTTTTTAACAATACATAAGTGGAAAAGAGGTTTTGTAATACATTTAAAGGGTTTGAAACAACAAATAATCATGACTTGATGTCAGTTTATAGAATGATTTAAAAGTAGTTTGATTGATAAGACAGTTTGAAAGCATAGCAATTCCATATGTTTGATAGTTATAAATCACATTTGATTGATAATATAACTATGATATTTAACTTTTATCCCCCCCCCCCCCCCCCCCATAAAAGCATTTAAAAGCATGCAAAATCATTTACAAGGTTGGTTAAGGGGTATGAACTCACCTATAGTGAGTGGGTTGTACGGAAGTGTTGGACAAGGTGTTAGCTATAAAGTGAAGACTTGAACACACACAATGATCCTATATACATATAATAACATATATATATATATATATATATATATATATATATATATATATATATATATGTGTGTGTGTATCCAATTAGTCATTTAACAACTAATTAACTAAGTTAAGACACCCTAGGACATGAAAACACTTTGATTTAAGTGCTATAGGTACCAAAGGGTTGCATCTAAAGGTTGCATGGCATGGCATTGGAGTTTATGGCCCAAGGACCACTCCTTATGGAGTTTACGGTGTAAGGTCATTTCCTTATATGAGTTTACAGCCGTAAACTCATGGTACTAATGCCATTGAGTGTTTTGAGGTCTTATAAGTCAAGAGTGAGCATCTATTGATCAAGTCCAAGCCTTAGGAAGCATTAGGGCACAATATCTCCTCTTTATAGACTTTACGGCCTAAGGACCATTTCCTTATGAGTTTACAGCCATAAACTCTATGTGGACTTGGTTTCTTTGATGTTTAAGGTCCTAAACACTTCAAGGAAGTGATCTAGACTAGTATCCAAGGCCAAGGAAGGGACTAGGGTGCACTTTGCCCTACTTATAAGGGTTTACGGCCCAAGAACATGCTTTGGCCGTAAACACCTTAGATCTTATGTTTTCTTGGTGTTTTCTAAGTGTAAACAAGTTCATTCAAGTACATAACAAGCTACGACAAGTGTACTTACAAGATAGAAGCTTAAATGGGTGTTTAAGGTCCAAGAACACTAGTATGTGTTCTTGGTGTTCTTGGTGCTTTGAAGAACACTTGAAGATCTAAGTGAAAATCAAGAATGTATGGATGAAATGATCTATAACAACTAGATGTAAGGTTATAACAACAAATCAAGTGAAGAAACACTTACGTTTTCGGAAGATCGGAAGAAGATTGGGATGATACTTGAGAGAGAATGGTAGAAGTTCTTCAGGTGGAAAGTTGAGGAATGAAAGAGTTGAGAGTAAACTCATGCCTTAGGCATGAGTTTGCGGCCTTAAGGGAGTTCACGGCCCAAACCCTCTATGTTTGGCCGTGAACACGTAACCAAGGTGTTGATTGTTCCATTTTTACCCCGATATCCTAAAAATTACTTCCTTTTATCCGTTCATTTGAAGAATAATTATTAAAAATACTCAAACGGACTATAAACTGGCTAAAAATTAGCAGAAAGTGTTTAACTTTTAATTGAAGTGCTTGACTGTAGGGTTTGTACGAATGAAAATTTCGGGTTCTCACAAGCGTGGAACATATCCCTGAACTGCTCCCAAGTAACAGCAGCTATTTGATCATCAGTGTACGACCCTGTCGTCAATCTCCACCATTCCTTTGCCTCGGACCTCATCAGGTTCAAGGAACACCTTACCTTCTGGTCAGTAGGACACAAGTAACTAAAGAAGAACCCATCCACATCAGAAACCCAACTCATAGCCTTGATAGGTTCCTGAGTCCCATCAAAAGTAGGAGGCTTCATGTTATTGAAGTCCCTATACTGGAAGCCCCGACTGGCTCCTCCTCCCCCAGCCGTTGTAACAGCCGATGCGGCTGCAGCGGCAGTTGTCTCTACAAGTGCTGCATAATGGTCGTCGAAATACTTGACCATGGCAGTTTTAATAGACCCAAACATCTCTGGAAGTTGTGTCCGGAACAAAGTGGCAACCTCATCATGCAGGATCTCTCGAATCCTGGCGTCTAGCTCATCTGTCCCCATCTGCACCACAATCTCGAGTGTTGTTGGCCCCTCCTGGCCTCCGTCTACTGATCCTAATCCTTACCTGGATCCAATCACAAAGCATCTCTTCATCACCATTCTCAAAAATATACCAAATGATATCATATAATTCACATAAATAACAGGGAAGCAACTCCTGACTAAACCCTAGGGGTTGTGACTTCCTTGCTATGCATATGGGTCATATGCTTTCAGTAGTACAGGCCCATACTACCTTCCACACCTACCCATATTTGTCTTGGGTATCATCACAACACCCTAACAATATACATTCACATGGTGGTCTCTCAATCCTCACTACTAGAGGAAAGGTAACTGCCTCACATCGACCTATCGACCTCACATAACACACTCATCCATGAAACTTCCACTAACCATGCAGCACTAGTGTATGCTCGCCATAGATAACGCTGGACCCTATAGACTTTCGAATATCTAATCCTACCCTAAGTCCCTAATCAAAAAGAACATAACATAAGGCCAAATCAAACATTTCCGGGCTATAAGATCTTAATTATGTACAGCCGTGATACATACACAAGTAACTATAGTAATGATGTCAATCTCATATAAAGGAAAACCCTAAGCTAGGAGGCATCATGTAATCAGGAAATTCTATCATGCATTCCTGAAGATCCCTAGTGTAGTACTAGCATGTTGTTCTAACATATCACAATATCAAATAACCGTATGCTATTATAGGGTCTACTTACTGGCTCCGGCTGATCATTGAAGAAGTGATAATCGAGTAACGAGATCAAATCAGAGTAAAAATGATATGAAATGAACACGATGTAAATATGATCTTGTTTCAGTTCTATTATACTTCAAATGTTTTTACAGAGAGTAAAAAGACAAGTTCTGTAAAAGACTATTACGTAGCTCTAAGTAAAGCCCTTATTTATAGGTAACATGAAAGTATACAAAAAATACTAAGACATTGACATTTAAGCTTTGAACATATAGACGCCTTAGTAAATACATTACAAACTACATTAAGGGTATAGGCTTCGACTCATTACAAAATTTCTCTGACCCTTACAATCTCCCCCTTTGGAATGAAGTCAACTTCTCGGGTTGTGAGAATCTGGATGGTATACATCATTACCCTTTGAACTTCTGTGTACCAAGATATAATCTTCTTAAGCTCCTTCTTATCCCCTTCATTATTTTTCTTACAATTATTCATACGAATAATGAAGCTCGTATATTGGGACGTTGTATATCTTTCGATTTCACAGGCTTGGAACAAAAATCTCTTAGTCTTTCCAGCTTTCACTTTCTAGCAAATATCATTCTGAATGGTTTTAAACAAATTTGCCCATCAGCATATTTCTTCAACTCTTGTTGAGACTTGGTTGGTTCCATGGGTACTTTAACTTCTAATCCTTTCACCGTTGCTAGTTCCACATCTGTAAGTTCCAAACACTCATAATAATTCTCCAAGAAGATCTTGATGTGTGCAACTCCCAGTCGAAAAACTCCAGGATCAGTTTCTCAAAGGTATGAAGAATTATTTCTTTTAAGAGAAGAGAAACTTGTATAAGGTCATACAAGTTCATGAGAGGAAAATCCACAACTATAAAATCACAACTCTGACCATTCTCCCTTTCAACAAAAAATCTCACATTCTGCATCATATCTTTAAATAAAACATCCATTTTTATGCTAATCACATTCGTGATTTTGATCAATGACCAAATTTCTTCTGGAGCTTTTGTAAGAACAGCATGAAAACGAAGCTTCATGTAGTTGTAGTCATCTTCACTCTTGAATTTATCTGAAACTTTGAACTGTAGCATCATAAACATCATCTCATTAATTGGGAAGTCAAGCTGGCTCGTGTCTGCATTCGAAACCACATAACTCTATTTTGGTTTCTTCTTGAATGCATACATGTGATTGAATGCCACCTTCGCTTCAATTGTCTTGTAGTTATAATGTTTGGCAGGATCTCCTTTATTCAAACTAGGAGAATCACTCACCCTTTGCCTCATTATGCTTTGTACTACTCTCAACTTTTCAATCTCAGCTTCGGCTTCTGGTTTCTTCTCCTCCTTTGATTTTTCAACAACAATCAGCGTGCCTTTTTTGTTGATTTTTCTATTACATCTTTGTTTTAGAAGCATTGCCTTGATCAGTAGATAAACCAATTACAACTCCCTTCGAGATTGGCTTCACGATTGGCATTGATGTCACAATTGTTGAGGTAACTAGCTCAGCACTCAAAATTGTTGGCTTAGATGATGGAAGTTTTGAAGGAAAATTTTTGACAAAAACTTTAACCTATCCATGCAAAGCTTCACCTCCAGCCTTCGCATGAGAAGCTTCTCCAACTCTTTTCTTTCCTCCTTTCACCCTTGTTCGAACAGGTGGGGCACCGATTGGCAGAAGATTCGAAATGGTAGATAACGGAGCCAATTGCTTCGAATTGTGAAAATTTCAAAGAGAGGAACTTTGGAGTGATTATCAAAGATGAAGCAGGCTTGAGCATAGATTCTTTTAAATCCTTTAGCATCGAAATAAGCTCCCCAAACTGTTGATTGTCAGTTGTAGAAAGTTGAGTAATTTGAGGACTCAAGATTTCGTACAACTTAACATATTTCATTACAGCATCACAAATGATATCAACCTTTTTATGTAGAGTTGCATAATCATGCTGAACAGCAACAAATTCTTTCACCATATCATCATGAAGCTCTTGTAGCTTCAATTTGGCATCTTCTCTCACCTTCTTCACATCCATAACAAACAATGTATGTCTTTCTTTTTGGACATTTGTGAACTCCTTGACAGCGCCCACATACTTTGAATTAAAAGAATTTATCCTTAACTCAGTGGTGTGATCAGATTGATCAACCTTCTCTAAGATTTTGGACTCGGTATCTTTAATCATACCTGAAATTTTGCTCACCATTTGTGCTTCGAAAGCCTTCATCAATCCATCAATTTCAAAGTAGAGACTGAACTCACCCCCCCCCCCTATCTGCTTGTGACTGAATAATGGAATTCAACTTTTTATTCAGAATTTTGAACTGTTTCATGGACATCAACATATCGTCAGGGAAATCTTATTTTTCATCTCAAATGTCATGTCTTCGAACGTGCCTCCAAAGCCACCTTCATCATTTTTAGAAAAATCCATTGTGTTTGCTGATAAGTGGATTGTGATGAAAAATTTGATGTAAAGGGTTGATTGATGATGTTTTCAAAGGTTGGTGATTCAGTAGTGGAAGTGGTACGGATAATATATGGAGGTAAAGAGACAAAAGTATTGATAATAGGTTCAACAGAAATAGCAACTAGAGTACCTTGTTGAGCTTGTGTAGTTTCCTTAGATAGATCTCCTTCACCCATGGTAACATTTACATCCGTATCAGATATGTTTGTACTGATGTCTGAAGTTCGTTCCTCCTCATGAAATGATTTAGCATACGGAACTTCGGGTGGTATGACAATAGTCTGCTCAGGAGATGTAGGCTCAATAATAGAAATAGATTCGGGTGTTTCAGGCACATCTTCTTCTTTGGAAGATTACGTTGGAAAAACAAGTTGTCTCTTCTTTTTCTTCGAAATTTGCTTAGCCATATCTTCAACTCTTCGTTTCTTTGATAGAGGATAAACATGAGCTGGTACTTCACGCATAATGACCCCTTGATGAGTAACGTGAGGCTTACGAACCACGCTTGAAATTGGAGAACCACCATACTTCAGCTTTAGTCTGCAAAAAACTCCAGTCTTGGAAGGAATGGTAACTAAAGTTGGTTATGAAACAACAGGCTCAATGGGTGCAACTGGCTTTACCACAACTTGTGAAACTTGCTCATCTTGCTTCATGGTATTCTTAGGAGACTTCGATTTCTTCGTTTCTTGAACATTTGGCTCAGGAGTTATGATCTCAATCTTCTTTGTTGTCCTGGATTTCTTCGAAGGACCTCCATCTTCTTTCGTTAACAACTTCTCGGTTTCAACTTTGGGATCAATAGTTGTCAAATATTCGATAAGCACAGCATTTGTTGGATCAACTCTTTTCAACATGGCATCAGGAATTCATGCAACATGTGTGAAAATTACAGCATCATCTGAAACCTCCATCGGAAAATGATATTTCATAAACATAACAGTTTCCTCTTCATCAGATACTGGAATCCCTTCTTTATCATAAAAATACCTCAGAATAAGACTCCAATACCATGCACATGAAATACCTTGCACGACATTAGTGTTTTCTACACTTTTTTGAAACTCCTTCCATAACTGCGTTGAGTAGTCGACTAGAATATCATCATAAACTCCTGCAACCATGGCATAAACCTCCATCCTCCCTTTGTCAAGACCCACACTACGACCAGTCAAACATCGTAAAATGATTCTAAAAAGAAAGTTCCAGACTGTCGGAAGACTAGACTTCTTAAAATCGCTTATCTTGGTGAGTGGAGGTTGATGACCCATCTCGTTGAACATGTAATTGACTTGTTCAAACGAAAGAGCAGTGAATGGTGGTGTGTTTCAAATTTCCAGAATTTGACAAAACAACTTCTTCGTCAATCTAACCTTCTTGTCATTTACCAGATTAAAGGTAATAACATCTAGGTCCTTGTTGTAAGTTGCAGTTGATCCTACTATCGAGAGCCAGGAAAGAGGAACAGCAAAAGAATTAAACATCGTAGTGGAAATAACAGAACTCTAAAGCAACAACCAACATCTTCAAATCATCAGGATAAAGAGATACATCTGTTTCGACTTGATAGTTGGTTCCTTGTATCTTCATGATCGGTTGAGATGTAACGTCTTCTGTTGTTTAAGGTGGTGCATCGAAATTGGCGTGAGTAGCCATAAGTAGGGTTTTGGAATTTTCTGAAGAACAAATCAATATTGCAGAGAGAATTTGGGAATTTTTTTCTTTTGAAAGCGTAAACTGATCAAGAGCCCTTGAATCCCCTTTTATATGTATCCCTGAGGTTTGAATTTGAAGCGGGATATGCATTTAATGAAATCCACTAAGACAAAACAAAATACTTTTGTGATTTTTGATTTTTCGAAAATAAAAGAGAAAACAAATAAAAATCTGTTTGTTGTTTTTGTGTTTTTCGAAAGGAAATGACAAAACAAATGAAAAAAAAATTCTTGTTTTTGTATTTTTCGAAAAAAAAATCAACTTAACAAAAATATTTAAAATTTACCAGACACGAATTTTTCAGCTCCAATTTACGAAGACGAAGGGTATTGAAGCGTTGACTATGAACAGTAACCTTTGACTCTGACAGATGTCCAATCATTTCTATTCTTTCGAAACAGAGCCCCCTTCGACCATTCCAAGTCCACCTAAAACTCTCACAAAATATTTTTCATCTAACGGTTTTGTGAAAATATCAGCCAATTGATCAGTGGTTTTCACGAAATGCAATTCAATATTACCATACTCTACATGATCTTTTATAAAATGCTAACGAAGAGCAATATACTTAATCTTCGAATCCTGCACAGGATTATGACAAATACGAATTGCACTTTGAGAATCACAATATAACATAATTCTCTTCATGTTTATATGCATGATCACACAATTGACTTTGAATCCAAATTATCTTTGATGTGCAAGCAGCAGCAGCAACATATTTTGCTTCAGCAGTCGAAATGGAAACACATGTTTGCTTCTTGGATTGCCAGCTCACCAATTTTCCATCAAGTAATTGACATCCTCCACTTGTGCTTTTTCTATCAAGATTGCAACTTCCCAAATCAGCATCTGACAAAGCTTGAATAAAGAAACTTGTTTTCGAAGGATACCATAATCCTAACGAAATCGAGCCTTTGAGATAACGAAAAATATTCTTGACTGCAGTGAGATGTTGCTCTCTTGGATTTGACTGGTACCTAGCACAATTACACACAGAAAACATGATTTCAGGTATACTTGTTGTGAGATAAAGTAAAGAACCTATCATGCATTGATAAAGAGTTAAGTCAATTGTTGGTTTATCTAATGAAGGTGCCATCCTCATTCTAGTTGTCATTGGTACTCGTAATTTTGTGTTATTCGTCGATCCAATCTCTTCAAGCAAAATTCTTCGTATACTTTTCTTGGTTGATAAAAATTCCTTCTCTACTTTGCAGAATATTTAGACCAAGAAAATTATTAATTTTTCCCATCATGCTTATTTCAAATTTGCTTTTCATCATATTTTCAAAATCATTAGACAAAGCAGGGTCAGTAAAGCCAAAAAGAATATCATATCCAGAAATTTAAACAATCATAAGATGATTCCCAACTTTCTTTCGAAATAATGTGCGGTCAATTGATCCTTGTTTAAATTTCGATTGTTTTAAGAAAGAGGTAAGAGTTGCATACCGGGCTCTTGGTGCTTGTTTTAACCCATAAACTTTCTATCTAAAATATAAAAATATTCAGGATGATCTTTATTGAGAAAACCTAGAGGTTGTTCCACATATACAGTTTCTTCGAGTTCTCCATTCAAAAATGCACACTTCATGTCCATTTGATATACATCGAAATCTTTATGAGCTGCATAGGCTAGAAATATACGAACAGCCTTGAGTCTTACGATAGGGACGAAAGTTTCTTCATAGTCAATTCCTTCTTGTTGTGAATAACCTTTTACAACAAGTCTAGCGTTGTTTCAAATAATGTTTCCATTTTTAGCGGTTTTATTTTTGAAAATCCATTTTGACCCGACAATCAAAATATTTTTAGGTTTAGGAATTAATCTCCAAACCTTATTTCGTTCAAATTCAGCCAATTCAGATTGCATTACAGCAACCTAATTTGAGTGTTCTGTTGCATCCTTAACTATCATTGGTTCGATTTTTGAATTGAAAACATTGAACATGCAAAATTCTTGATGAGTATTTAATACCTCATTATTTGCACGAAGTTGAGCTCTCGTTAAAACTCCATCTTCTGGATTCCCAATTACTTGTTCTTTCGGATGATCTTTTGTCCATTTTTTGATTGGTGAATATGTTGGATCAAAATCCAAATGTACATCTTCGTATAATCTTCATTTTCTGATCCTGTAACAGAAAGATTATCATTAATTTCGTGAAATTCATCATTTAGATCAAGACTTACCGTATCACTATTATTTTGATTTTGTTGCTCTCCCTCAACTAGATGCTGCCTCTCAACATCTTCATTTATTCTCCTATTCCCCCCCCCCCCTCGAAAGATTTCTCCCCCTCAATTTGAGTATTTGAATCCAAGTGCTCCCCCTCAATTTGAGTATTTGACTGGATTATTTAGCATACTTTCACCAATTCTTGGGGAATTCGATTTTGAATTATTGTCATCAAGAATTTGTGTAAGATCTGACACATCAAAGTGCTTCGAAGATTCATATTAATTGTTATCATTCACATGAACTTCAGCATTCACAGCCCTATCAGGAACACCAAAAATTAAATCATAATCAAAATCAGATGAAGTTACAATTTCCGTTTCATCATTTGATTCATTAACGATTGGCTTTTGTTCAAAGAGTTTGTCAACTTGTTTAACATAATAGTCATCCAAAGTAAGATTGAATGTTTCTTCGACTTTTCGTGCTCATTTATTTAACACTCTATATGCAACCGAACTGTGCGAATATCCCAAAATTACTCCTTTGTCAGCCTTAGCTTGAAACTTCGAAAGATTATCCTTGAGATTCATGATAAATCACCTACAACCAAACACATGGAAAAATTTAACATTTGGTTTTCGATTATTGATTATTTCATATGAAGTGATAATGAAACGTCGATGAATAAAAGAACGATTTTGAGTAAAACACGCGGTTGACATTGCTTCGGCCCAAAAATATTGAGGAAGATTTGCATATGTCAACATTGTTCTGGCTGCTTCACAAAGTGACCTATTTCTTCGTTCAACTACACCATTTTGTTGTAGTGTATATGGTGATGAAAAATTATGTGAAATTCCTTTTTCAATTATGAATGAATCAAGCAATTTGTTCTTAAACTCAGACCCATTATCACTTTTGATCTTTTGAACACTCTTCTTTAGACATTTCTTAATATGTTTGATAAATTCAATCATCATCTGATCGAATTCAAATTTTAACCTGAGAAAATACACCCATGTAAATCGTAGAAAAATCATCAACAATAACCAAAATGTATCGTTTCTTGTTGGGAGTTTCAACAGTTGATGGTCCACATAGGTCAACATGAAGAAGTTCCAACGGTTCTACAATTTTCGAATCTATCACAACTGGATGTCCTTTTCGATCTTGTTTCCCTTGTTCGCAAGCTGCACATAAAGTACATTATCAAATTTTAAAACCAGTAAGCCTCTAAAAAGATCTTCACTTACCAACTTATTTAAATTTCAAAATTTTAAATGAAATAACTAACGATGCCATAACCAACTAACATCAGATGTAGCTTTTGAAAGTAAACAAATCGATGGTTTCCCAACAATCTGTTTGATATCAAGAGTAAACATATCGCCATATCGTTTTGATTTTAGCAAGACTTCATTTGTTTCAATCTTCGAAATAATACTGCCTTCTTCGTTAAACACAACTTGATTGCCAGTGCCCATAGCTAGTAGTGAAACACCCTGCATCCTCCTTTTCTCATTTTAAAAACCATTTTAAAACTATTTTGAAAATCCTTCCTTGGTTTGAGACTGGATTCACACAAATGTTCCTCCAATTCACTCAAACCAAGGCTCTGATACCAACTTGTAACACCCATAAAATCATGACAAATTTGAACTTTTAAAAACATTTCAAAACCATTAAATCATTACAAACTTATTTTCAAAATGTATAATATCATAGTTTTCCTAGACACATAAACAAAACATGAGGAGCAGTACGATCACGGCTTTGCCTTGTCGTGATCCCCTGATGTATGTGAAACAATAAAATTATGAAAAATTTGAACTTTTAAAAACATTTCAAAACCATTAAATCATTACAAACTTGTTTTCAAAATTTATAATATCATAGTTTTCCAAGACACATAAACAAAACATGAGGAGCAGTACGATCACGGCTTTGCCTTGCCGT